AAAAAATTATTCACAATAAAAATCAAAAACTACTGTCACCTCCTTCAAAAGTACTTATTTACCATTTATTTTGAAATAGTATAGCATGGAATGCGGTGGCGTTTTCATATACAAACTACAAGGCATGCAAAGTTAAAGAACAATCCTAAAGAAACAAATAAGTTATCCTCAAAGAAGTTTAAGAAATTCCACTGAGAAGCGCTTAACTTTTGTGAAAGGAACCGTATCCGTCCGGGACGAAAAACATAACAAATAATTGGTTAGGAAACGGTTGATTGGGGATATTACACTGTAGTGTTTCGACAGATCGCTACCGTAGTTTGAAGTACGGCAAGCCCAGGTATAGGATCGAGTCCCATCGGGGGTCCATAGTTTCACCTCAAGATTTACGGTCTTGCGGGAGCATTCGCGTTGCTAACTATGGCGAGAAACACCAGTTCTCAAAAAAAGTCCTCTCAGGTAGACTGCTCAGATGTTCAGTTAATGGGATTTACACGTATACCATGGATAATTTCAAATACTATCGAGCAAATCGGAATGCCACTTGGAAGGCGGGTTCTATTCTTAACATCTTTTAGTTCATTAAATAAATCCACATTATATTTATAAATGGCTAAGGTCAGGAAAAATCAAGAAAAAGACTTTAAAAAGCCGAAAATAATGTGGCAAATTGACGAACGAGATTTCGGCGGTTTCAACAGCAAAGTGTACAACCAGGAAATGAGGGGTCTAAACTCTTTTACAACACCTACATATTCGGATGCAGCTCTCCTATTGTACATTAATTCAATGCATCAATATTCATTATAACACAGGAATGGAAGGCTCAGCTAGTTAATTACATACAATTTCAACTTCGATAAAGCAAGCAGGGTAGCTGCTCCTATCGCCCTTCATAAATAATTCATAAATATTCTCTCCTTCTTGTTCGACCACTCGATGGAGCTTCTTCCTAATTCCTAGTATATATCTCGCACACACTGCAGGTGTGAGAGTTTTCCAGTAGACTAAGACTGCATTCTTCAACTCTTCGAGTGTTCGAACATTTCGCCTTCTTAAAAGAAATGATTAACTCACAAAGTGTTGAAAATGGCTGTAATTAAGTCGGGCGAAACTTATTAACCTGATGAAGGTTTTCATGTTACCCCATACGAGTTCGATAGTGTTCAAATCGGGAGACTCTGGAGGCCAATCGAGGAGCTTAGCGTTCCATAAATCAAGGCGTGCAGATGTATAAGCGCTTTTGTGAGCAGGCGCGTTGTCTTGCACAAGAACACCGAATCCGTAAAATTGTAGAGCGCACATACGAAATCTTTTCACGAGTACATTTGATACCATTAAATAGCTAATCTTCCAAAAACAAACCATTGAAAATCGTCTTATTAAATGGGATGTAACAACATTCCAAAATTTGACAGTACTTCTCGCTGTCCATTCGCATTTCACCCGGAAAAATAGTGATCTTAGTTGCTCCTCTCATGGATATTCCTCCCCAGATATGAAGCTTCGCTGGATGCTTCGCTCTTGAGCGGAGTCGTGCAAAGTAATCGCCCTTTCTCACGAAACAGTGTCGGACAGAACAATCAACTAAAAAAGGAAACTATGAAGAATCCTATGAACAAGAAAAAATGCTATTAAGCTTGATTCAAACGAACTCTGAATCGTGGACTCATCAGTGAAGATGCACTGACTAAAATCTTCGTTAGCTTCAATCATTCTTGTGCAGAAGCTGAATCTTTTCTCTTTATTGACGTCGCGAATCAAGTGGCGGTACTTTGTTGTTGTTCTTCGAAATCCCAATTTGTTCCTCAGACGGCGTAGCTGTGAGACACTAATAGATATATTCCGATCAAGAAGACGCCTCATTATGAACGGTATGGTAGTTGATGAGTCTGCCGAATAGCTGTCCACAATGATGCGTTTGATGGTGTGCAATACAAAGCGGTGTTTTCGGGCTCGATATGAAACTTTTTCACAAGGGGGATCACGAGTTTAATGCTTCCGCAAAAAAACTCGAACCTTGTGATAGGTGATCGTTGAGTCCATAGCTCGCAGTTGATTGTGAATTTCCGAAATTGACTTTCCGGAGCGGTGCATAGGAAAAATAATGTTACTGTAGCGAATAAGAGACATCAAGTACTGATTGTGAACAAAGCGATCCTGTTGACCTGTTGCAGTACTGTATTAGTAGAGGCGTTTCCAACGACAGCAAAGGTCATGGTCCAGCGTTTTGGGTTCAGAAAAGGGCGTTTCACGGGTATCGAGCCGAAACTCGGGGCCGTATATAAAGGATAAAAAGCTGGATTCTAGCTAAACTATCATCATGGATACTCACGCTATCGTCTTCTTTACTTCATCGAAGACTGCTGCCATCGTCGCGCTGTCAGCTATTAATGGAGGCCACAGAGTCAACGCTACCGTCAAAGTTCGTTGGAACAAGAAAATCTACTTGGCCAAGGTATGAAAAGTTTATGATTAAATCTCGGAGTTTTCACTGCATAGCTCTTTTAAGATTGTTCACATCTCATCAAAAGATGAATGTGAAAAGAAGATAGGAGATGTGACTGGGGACGGGAAACTGGTAGAGAGATTCTTCACAATAGGTGAGAGCAGTGTCACTCCTCAGGATGGCATTAACACTGGAAAGGAAAGCAACAACGGCACAACTGAAACAATGGAGCAAATAAAGGCAGGAATGTTCGAGCTGATGGAGCAGATGATGCAGATGAAAAGATTCATGGCAGGAGGCTTCCACGATGTCGTAAGAAGGATTAGATATGCTCTCCATAAAAAAATGTCACGCACCTGACTTTAAGCGACCATATAGCTCTTCTTCTTGACTTCAAGCAGATTATTCGAAAACTTTTGAGTAGTGCTGGTTCTGTAG